TCTCCATTTCCAACTTTAACCTTTGGTCTGTAGCTATCATCAAGCTTTACAAATATGCTGGAATTAGAGGTCATATGATGAGAACATCCACTATCCAATAGCCACATCTCAACACTGCTGTAGGCTTCTCCATTCATTGCCTGTACCAACACCATTTAGGAAAATGGCATATTTTCTTGCAATAAGGACAGGGAGGGTAGTCTTCATTTTTGCCTGAATTTTTGCTGCTTTCTCCCTTCTTCTTTTCAAATTGTTGCCTCTTTACACGAAAACTTGGTTGAGCTTTATACTTTCCCTTGGAAATAAAGCTCCTTCAACTTGTCCTTCTTGTCTAAATAACCTCCTTTGCTCAGTTGCTTGCAAGACATTTATGAGCTCAGATAAGGTAACGACATACAAGTCTCTAGAATCTTCAAGTAAAGAGATTTTTGCCTCAAACCTTTTCAACCACATGCTTATCAGGTAGTTCATCCCCTAGCAACATTATTTTATTCACCACTTTCATCAATCTATCTGAGTATTCTTTGATAGATTCAATCTCCTTCATCTCAGTGATTCATACCCCCTTCTGAGATTGAGAACCTGCATTTGCCTCGTCATTGAATTTTCCCAAAATTCCTCAAGCAATCTATCTCAAGCCTCTTTTTTTATGTTTCACAGGTAATGATCCTGGTGAAAATTGAATCAAAAACTGCAGACTGAATGTAAGACAAAGCCTTAAACTTTTTTGCAACTTCCTCACTATGTTGCTTCAGTTGAGCTACAGTAGGATTTGCTCTAAGTGGTGGTGGTTCTGCTCTTGATTTTGTGATTTTCCACAGATCATAGGCTTTCAAATAATTTAGTAGCCCGAAAATTGTAATTTTCTCTATTGAAGGCCGAAGGAAGGGGTACTGAAAATCCTGTTGAAGCCATCACTTACACTTGTTTGGTTTGTGAAGGTTTCTTACTTGTTCTCTCTCAAGAATCGCTCAGAAAGAAGGAAAAAATAGAGAAGGTGAACTTACCGGATTCGCAAGAGGCTTACCATTTTGACACTACTAACCGAATTTGCAACTCACTCACCGTATTTGAAGATACCGGATTTGGACTCTCTTTACTGTATATGCACTGCCCTTACCGTATATGCAGCATACTTACCAGTTTTTGCTCTGTTTTCCTCTACTTTTCAAAGCGATTTTTACCCTTTTTCAATCCTTTCAAAGATCGATTTTTTCTGCTCGGATACCACTGTTGAATATTAAACTAACAAGAGGAGAAGAAATTCGAATTTTTCATCTAAACATAATAATTTTA